GATTACAACGATAATAGAGGATAGCATTACACGATCCATAGAGACTCTTTTGTAGTAATATTTAAACATATGGCATATATATATAATTTGTGGGATCGTGGTTTAACCAATAAAGTCTGGTTTCTTAATTAGCTAGATTAGGGTTGTGAATCTTGTGATTAAATGGTTGGATGAATTCATTGCGCTAGCTCATGCGTTTTGTGGGATTTGGTGGCTCTGGAGGACCAATTCGTTTAATTATTAATTCTACTAATAGTGTATTTAGATAATTGGTCTTCAACTTATGCGGACATAAAAACGATTCATACAGAAATGGTTTGGTAGATATTTTTATTGGCATTGGTTTATTGGATAGATTCGTCTGACATGTTTTTGTGTTTGTTCATGCTTTTTTGAAAATAAATAATTCTCTATACCTTCTCAAATCATATAGACAAAAATCGATATATTAGAATATGAGGATTATATAGATGAAATTTTGATTAAGGCCCGATTTGTAATTTGATATGGTCTAGTATGACAGCAAATTGGTAAATAAAACTAAAGTAACAAAGGTTTGAACTCAGTTTGGCTTAGTCTATTTCCAATTCATTTTTGTTTAGTTATTTTAAAAGTGACTACTGAAGTCAATATCCAGAAAAAAAAGAAGTCAATATCCAATTTGATCGACCCTAGTGAGTACTGAAATGGGTCGGATACAGACACTATTGGGCCTTTACTAAAATCTCCAGTTTCGGGCACAATAAAGAGAAGTAATATTACTCCGATCCGCCATTACCAGATTATTTAAATTTCTTTATTTCATTTAATATTTTAACATATGACTAAAGAATGTTCGCCCTCCATGGGCTAATACAATAATACTATACAATTGGAGAGAATTAAAAACATTAGAATAAGCCGAAATGGTTTAAGGCCCATGAGCATGTTGTTTTTGTTATTTTAATGGAGTATTAATTAGACGGGTACGAATTATATATGATGAAATATTAGCATAATTCTAGATTTTATTAGCCCAAGATAATCCGCCGTATATTAATTAAGAATACAAAAAAATTATATGTGTCACTCAATAAAGATTGTAAGAGATTCATTAGTTAAATTAGTGAGTCAAAATACTCTAATTAATTTTATATATCATATTGAAATCTCTACATATTTACATTAATATTTTAACATGAACTCACAAATATATAAATTACTAATTTAAATTCATTTAAAATATAACATTTTAATATTTTAAACGTTATATAACATAATGTGTTAACGATAAATCATTTTACCAATATCAATTACTTTATAAAATTGTATTTATGTCCATTTGGATATCATATGTGATTGATCATACAATTATTTTATTTTATATCGTCTAATTGTTGTATCCATATTACTCTAATTAAAGTTACATTTTTGTTATAAACGTACAACTTTACAATTCAAACATTAATGATTGAATTTCGAAATCATCATTTTCACTTTTTATTATTTTTTTGATTTTTTATTTAAGAAGATTTACATACTAACGCGATATTTATTTGGGTTTGGTGAATTTAAATAAGTTTAAGAGAATACATAACCTGAAAAGTATTCAATTTACAAAAAGAACCTTATATTCAATCTAAGTGTAATACAAGTTAAATTTTGTAAGATGATATACCATATGATATTTGTTGTTTGTAGTTTCTCCGATATATTATAAAAACTATGATTTTTTTCAAATATTCTAATCCCGCATTTGACGCGGGAAAAAAATCTAACTAGGTTGTTATATGAAAATCTGGTTGTTTCTCGGTCTATTGAGGCTTGAACGCATATGAAATGTTTTTTTATCCAAATGTGTTTGGCGTTTATATTTATAACTAGCAGATGAACTTTGTTTATGATTCACTTGAAAAATGGTCCACTAATTGTAACAAAAAAATGATGTCTGAGTTCAACAATTATTTTTTCTTTATAAATTGTGGGTATTCTGAATATTTGGTTCATAATTTCTTCGGTATCCAGAGAAAGTTTTTGGATTTCCGATTTAAAGAATAATTCTCCGTTCCAAATAGAAGTTTAACAAAAATTAATGCCAAAAAACATAGTAAGAGATAAAATGATGGCACGTAACGAATAATATTTTGAGAGCTACGCCTATACATGTTAATTGTTGAGAACATATCTTAGTTAATCTCTTTTTTTTTTTTTCCTTCTTAGTTAATATCTTGCAAAGATTATAATTGTCATAACGAAAAACTAAACTCGTTAATTTCATGTGCCTTTTGCTTTTATCGCTTTTGAAACGTGTGTTCTTACATGAATGACTGTGAGGATAAAAACTACAATATATAGTAGAAAAATTTATCTAGAATACCTTACTTTTTTTAAAAAATAACTAGAATAATTTTACCATTTTTTTTATTGCTGAAATAACCTATTCTAGATTTTTTTTTCTTTCATAATACCAAAATTATCTTTAGCAGACTCTGTCGAGGTGTTGGCAGACTCTGCCGAAATATTGGTAGATTCTGCCAATGTTTTGACAGAGTCTGCGTATTTCTAGATATTAGCAGAGTCTGCCAATACATCGGTAGAGTCTACCAATGTTTCCGCAGAGTCTGCTAATACAATCGGTAGAGTC